AGTAGCTTTGTGGTTGAAATGTGCTGTTGTGGGAAAGGTGGCGAGTCCCTACTAGTGTGGGGACTCCCGTGGGTGTTGTAACCAGGCAACAGAGACGATGCCTGCCAGCTGTAAACAGAAAGGTTCGGTGCTTATGCAGCATCTGCCTGGAATTACCCCCTGATGCATATTCAGGAGAGGCAAAGTGACAAAACATGGTCTGAAAGTGAGGCACAAAGTGCCATATTCGGTATTTTTTCCTTTTTTGGTAGGCTGTCACACAGGAGCATCCGTCACATTCAGCTTCACTCACTTTAAGCTAAACCAGACATTGAAGTTATGGATGTTTGACCATAAAACTCCGCATCACCAGCTGGATCTGGATAAAAACTCACGGCCGGTCCTTGATTAATTAAATTGGTGTGACCAGTATTTCCTTCACATACGTGGGGCAGCATGGTGCATCATCCGTCATTAAACCTGTGATGTCTAAGCCTTAAGTCCTCACCATAACTGCATGATATATTATGTTCTCCCAAGTCCTGGTAATCACTGAACAAAATAGTGATCAGAATAATTCTTACTGTGAGGCATCAAAACTACATTTTCCCCCAGAAAGTGTTTTATTCTCACGTCTAAAACAATGAATACGAGTTGGGGTCATCAACTTTGACCAGATTTGCTATCTGTAGTGCAGTGAACTGAGTATTCAGCACTGTATTTGTATTTTATTCCAAATGCAGATGCTTTTTGTGAAAGGGAAATCTGACGGTTGTTTTTAAGGAAGTAATTTAGCTCTGTTTTTGTTGACTAAGTGCTTTCATTTCCTAAGATTTTCTGGTTTGGTGACCTTAACCTTAGAGGGTGGAACAACCCAGATAAAATTAGCCAGATGTGCTATAAACTGCTCCATGGTATTTTACTCCAAATTTAACCATGAAAAAACAGTGTTGTATTTAATAAGAGTTGAAGCTGCTGATTGATGTCATAGTTTGGTAATTTTCTCATGGATGTCTTTACAGTCTGACTTGTTTCTACAGCCGAGGAGTCGACCCCTGCTGCCCGTAAGGTTTCCACACAGGAAGTGATGTGCCTAAATACAGAAAGTCAGTCATATTCAGCGATTTCAAATCATTATTGGCAAAATAACTCTTTAAACTTCAAAACGAGCGACTGAAGCTGATTGACATGGTGCTAAAAACATTACAGCAGGGGTGTCTAACTTAAGGCTCCCACTTTCGGGGTACCTGTGCTGCCTGGGGGTGGTGCCGGGATGTGACTTGTGTTGGACCTCTGACAGAGACTTTCTTGCATGTTTCTCACACAACAAGCAGGTGTTCACAGCTTCTTTGTCTTCGCTATTGGCATTCTTTTAGTGACTTTCAGCATCTGTATAAAATCAGGCTCTTCTCAGAGTCACAGTCTGTCATTTTTGTCACTCAGCATATTTTAAATGCTCTAGACGCTTCTGTGAGGGGGAGGGTTTCGTCTTGCCAGCAGAGATTTCTTAAATTCTGAGTGGGTGGCACCTGTGTATTTGTCTGATCTCACTCATGTTCACACTCCTATCTACTGATCAGACCAGATCCTCTATATTCCAAAAGCTAGGCTTATAGAGATATAATAGAAGTGACTGAGCTTTTTGTCTCCGATTGTCTCACCGTTTCATGTTAGAACTGTTTTTTAACTCTTTGCACAAGAGCTAAACCTTGACATCAGGTAATTGGTTTTGTTTTTTTGTCATTTTATTATTGGCTGCCTGGGAAACATTATGGCCAAGCTGTGTCGTTTGAAATGTGCTACACAAGTAAACTTGACCTTGATCTAAAAACGAGTTCCCCCCCAGACTTCTGTCATCAAACACTTGCTCACAGGTCTGATTGTTGAGTTTTCTCTTTGGCCTTATATAAATGAAACTGAACGGATTTTTCACTTACAGGAACGCATTGCATCAGTTTCTCGTAATCAGTTGTGTACATCTAATTGCTGTGGCGTAACTACAGGAGGGAAAAAAAGCCAATTAAATGGAAAGTCAGCATGAGTTCATCTGAGAGATACCACTGAAAGTTTAAACTTGAAGCTCTTCAGCCTCCTCTTTTTCGTCTTTCCACAACACATGACTCACTCTCTCAGCTCAGCACTCACCAGATACTCCACAGACATACTGAGATATCTGCATGTCCCAGAAATGTAAAGTTCAGACCATTTCTGTTTGAAGCCAGAGACAGAAACTGGTGGTTTATTAGGCCGAGGAAAAAAGGGAAGATTAAGATCAGCACTTTTTTTTTTTTCTTGAGAGTTACTGGTGGCTTAAAAAGGGGCCATTCACTAGAAGAACCGCCGATGATAAGGACATGTTTGGTTTTTTAGGAGTAAGCGATAAGGTGCCAGGCGTTAAGTGGTTTCTTCTTCTCAGATTCGAGATTATAATTCTCGGCTGTGTGAATTCAGACATTAAAACAAACAATTATGTGATTATTAGAAAAAAATCACCCAAAGATGAACTGATTAAAATTGAATTCATCCTCCAAAGGAAGCTGCCTGATCAATCCTGGGTTTAAGCAAAAAAGCTTTTCCTTCATACAAGATGAAAATCTTAAAAAGCCCTTACTGTCTAAGGCAAACAGATCCAGTGGACAAGTCTAGACAGGTCTTAGCAGCTGGTTATACAGCACCCTTTCACAGGAAATAAAGTGCATCTCTCTCTGTTTACATAGGATCAAAGGTCTTAGAGATGAGCTCAGTGTGGAGTTTCCCAGAAGCTGTAACTGGAGTATGCTCCAGGGTGATGGATGGGGCCAACAAACATTAACTTCTGCTTTACTTAACCTGAAGAAAACGGATGCACACAGTCAAATACGGATATTAAAGCACAGCTACAACGATCTCTTTACCACTCAGCAAACACAAGTGTATAAAAATGTCTTAATAACTTGTGTCATGATCATTTAAAAAGGGCAGACACTGAAAGCAACAATGGGAACCACTTTATAAAGGGATGAAAACTAAATATTCATATTAAATGCTCCTGCTGAAAAAGCCTTCTAGGCTTGATTTAAGAAAATATTAGTACTTTTTTAAAAAAGGACACCCGCTGTCAGTTCTATTGGAACATTAATAAAAATCGCTGGTGCTTAATAAGTCTTAAAATTAGGCAAATACAACCTCCGATGAATGAGTTACACTGCACCCTTACTTATTTGATCAAATGCAGGGGCAGAGTGAGAAGAACTGAGTACACCCCATTTTTTGCAGTTTTCCTGGACTGAATGATGGAGTTCAGATTATTTAGAAATGGCCTTACAACCATCCCCAAACTGATGGGAAGCAACAGTTGCTTCTCTAAGATCATTGCTGATGTCTATCCTCCTCTCAGTGGTGTATTAACACACATCTGAATGCTGCAGACCAGCAAACTGACATAGAGGTTCATAGAGGTCCTCACAATTAATTGAGTTTATTTTATTAGCAGCACTTGGCGAATCCTTTCCTTTTAATCCCTATGGCGGCAGTAAGGGTGTACTTAGTCTTTCCTCGCACTGCTTTGGCATCTTGGCTTTTAAGTAATGAATCTGTGTAATACTTAATGCTGTGTCAATCATTTTTCGGTGTATTAACCGTGTTTTATGACGTGGTAAGGCCAAGATTATTGTTATTATGTCCCAAAATGTAAAGCCTTAGTTCTCTGGCATACTTATGCTCCACATTTTTATTCTTGGACTCTACCAGAGTTTGTTTGCATGACAGCTCAAAATCAATAATTCCTTATTTATCGTATACTGGATCTTTGTGAAGCCCCTCGGCCTCTGTGACCATGTTAAGTATATCTCCGCTCACTGTCATCACGCAGCAGATGTATTAATAATAAAATGAGTAAGGTTAACATCCCTGTGTGTCTCAATCGCCAAGTTTCCCCAAAAGCAACGGAGTTACAAAAGACTGGGTGTTTCACCAGAGTCCACAAAAACTAAAGAGGAAAGCACAAATAGGGCATGTTCCCAGACTGGATTACTGTGAGAAGTGATAGTCATGTTTTAGGCAGAAAAGAAAGGGAAAAAATAACTATTGTTTCTTTTGAGAGGCTGTGACTAAAGCGACCTCAAGGTGTCTCACAGCCATAAACAATAGGGTGATTTATATCCTCTGGGCTTCTGTCTAATGGGTTGGACAAACAAGTACTTCAAGGTTCTCTTGAGGCATTGAAGATATTTAAAACTACGACGTGACAAGCCGAAAAGCATCTCGGAGATGTCGAAGCTGCCAAGAATCATTGTTTTTATAAGTGAGAGAGCAGCTCAGGAATGTGTGTGGGCGGCAGCTGAATCGCAGCGCCTACATCCCCTTTAACGCACTCTAATCTTTTATTTCTGCCTCTCACTCTGCCTCAACAGGAAGTAATGACACAACAAAAGTTACACACAGACATTTTATTTTTCTCCGACTACTGCACTACACTGTGGGCAGACATGTGATAAGGTGCGATTGGAAATTTGAATGCTTAACACAAGAGCGAAACTGACAAACAAAAGGAACTGACACAAAGAAAGCCAGAAATAGGAAAAGGGCTGTTTTCTATTACATTTATGTTGATTAAATATTAAACAAGCCAGCGGCTGTGGCAGCCAACAGAGAGCAATAACAGACAGGGACAAAGAAGAGTTGATCCCCAACTACTGTACTTGACTTTTGGTGATTAAAAAAAAAAAAAAACCCAAACCCTTTTATGCTGCCGGCAGCTTCAGCTAAGCAAACAAAACAAATGTCGCACAAACATTTAATACGTGCCATTTTAGTCTCACCTTGCAATTAAAACAGACTGCAATTATGGAAGTTTACAGCTTTTGTGGAGAAGTTTGAGTTCTCCTTTTAAACTCCACACTGAATGTAGGCTTTAAATTAATGCTTGCAGCACTTATGGAAAATAAGGAATGCCAACTTGTTCCCGAAGACTTGGCCAGCAAGGCTTTGGGAGCAAAAGAAGGAGAAAAAAAAAAAAAAAAAAAAAAAAAAAAAAGGTACGGGGTTAAATACAGGGCAACAAAGTGCAAAGCAGCAGCAGGAAAGAAGGCACTCTGCTCCATAATGGTTTTGCAGTCTAGCAGAGCACGCGCAGCAGATAACTCACTACAGGAAGATTGTTCACAAGTGGATACAAGCACCAAAAATGCCACGTATATTCTTCTCTGATTCAAGATAGCCGAAGCGTTTGTTATTTTTATATTCACTAGTTTGTATTTACATTTGACAGCATTTCAAGTTGATAATGACAGACGACATAATATAGGGGACTGGTGGTGGGAGGTCCCTGTGTGCTAATCAGAAGTGAACGAACTGAAAAAGCTGAACAAACAGCTTGCTGATCAGGCCCAATATTATGACCACCTGCCTAATGCTGTGTTGGTTCCCCTTTTGCTGCCAAAATAGCCCTGACCCATCGAGGCGCAGACCTCCAGCAGCTCCCACATATCCTCAATTAGACTGAGATCTGGGAAATCTGGAGGCCAAGTCAATGGCTTAAAATGTTCCTGAACCTTTTTTTACTTGTGGCAAGGTGTATTATCCTGCTGAAAGAGGCCACAGCATCATTCCTTGGACCACTTTTAATAGAATCTGACGTCTGTGTGTGTGGCTTACAGTGAAAAAACTGCTTTGAGTGCCAGCTCAAACAGAAAACACTCAGATGGAAAAAAAACCCAAAACTGACTGTAAGTTGTCACAGAAGATCAGACACTGATGATCACTGGTGTGAAACTTAGCTAAGTGTTCAGTACTGACTAACTTGTTGTGTTTAGACATGAGTAAGCCAATAAAACAAACAGCTTAGCAGCGCAGTTGTGCGTGGGTCTCCGCCGATTCTAAAGTGGTGTGACGGTAAATGGCGAGCCCCACCTCTCACCCATTGTCTGGGATGAACTGGATACGTGTGCCAGCATGAGAGCACTGAGCCAAGGATAAAGGAGCTCTGAACCAGTGCCATCAAAGGGGTTAAAGTGGAATCTCTCGGCCTGCAGAGCTATGCGCAGCCTTAACTGTCATCAGACCATCGGAGCAGCATGTAACGTGTTATTTTGCTTAAGTAGGAGTTATACCTTTGACTTAAAGTCAAATCCATTAAAAATCAAGAGAAAACCTCTGAAATGTATTAAATGGATGATATTCTGTGATGAAAGTTCAAGTGGCTGATGGGATTTTTCAAACTTGACTCCAGAGAGACAAGCATGTGCATTTTGGCACTTGTATCCACTTTTGAAGGATGGTTTCAGTTTTCTGCTGCGCTAATCAGTACCAGTCTCATACTAAAAACAAAGCAGGCGATAGCTTGTTAGCTTAGCACAAGTTCTAGAAACAAGGGGAAGCGGTAAACTAGCTTAATGTGCTCACATGGCAGTGACATAAAACTGTCAGCAAGGAAGTGACCAAGATGTTAAAAGATGACAGAAACAGAAACAGCTGTAAACGGTGCTACACGATCCTCAAAGTTCCTCTTCCGTTTTCACCTGAACCGTGCTATCCTGCGGCTCCAACTGCGGGTTCTGGCTCTCGCTGACGAGCATGTTGAATTGCAAGTCACTGTAATGGGAAAAGTCCTGCAGGAAGCCGGAGTTCTGGTTGAAGTTCATATCCACATTAGCAAAGGCGGAGGCAGTGATGTCCAAGTTGCCAGGCACGAGTGAGGAGAAGTTTGGGTTATTGAAGACCTCCCAAAATTCAGGCATGTCTACCAACTGGTTGTAAAGGGCCGCCTCGTCTGTGTTTGAATCGACTGGATTGCAGTAACGCGGTTCCGCCGCAGCGGGTGTGCCGGGCAGGACAGGGTGCGACCGCTCTTGTGGCGACATCATGTTTTGGGCCTCTGGGAGGAACTGGATGACCTGATCTGACGCAGGTGCGCTCTTGGCTGAAACAGATTACGTTACAGAGAAAACAAAGCTGTTAGAAACATGATGAATGGTCAGTTATTAGACGGAGGACTTTGTACCTGGATTGTGACATGTGATTCTCGACCTTTTTTAAAAAGCACACACACACAGCTGCCAGTCTTGAAAAAGGTCTTCACTGAGATTACGGGAGGAGAAGTGCAGAGCCAGCTGTGTGATCATTTTGAAAGGTGTTTGTCTCATTGTTAATCTGTAGTACTTTATGCCACAAGGACTGTTTTGCCTTGTTTATATCAGTCAGACCAGGCTATGAAATGGAAATAACTGTGAAAAACCTCCAAAACAACCCCACAGCTGAGTCGACGTCAACCAAAACTAGCCTTCATGAAGGTGGAACTTGCTGCTCTTTAGTTTTAACCTTTTGTACAGTTTACCCTGTTGCTTTTAACCCCTTTGTGCTTTTATTACACACCATCTTTATCTTGTTTGGTGTATCTATATATGTATAACACATAAAACTAGTCTATCTTCATGTGATAATCAGTCATAGAAATGACATGTCACATAAGGAGTATTTGTGGCTGACCACTTCCTCTTTTGTCATGTCTGTGTATTCCAGTGGTCGATTTTGGCATTTTTGGCAAATGTCATGTTAGCATGTGATCTGTTCTTCTTCATGCAGTGATGAGTAGACAGAAAATGATTAAGTATGATTTTTTTTTGAAGGGCATTGTGATTCGTCCCAATTACAGAAGCTGCCATGTGTCTAATAGTGCATCTTCACAGCAGACGTGTTGACTCTTAGTAGGTGTGGTTAATGGCACAAACACCAACTCAACTGTTCCACTGAGGTTTCTGTAATTTACCCAAGTGAGCGTGACCAAGACGCCCTTTTTTTCACAGGAAAATAAATGAATGGCTCACTTGCACCTCGTTTCCACCAATGCAGTGCGGGTGTGGAGCTGGTGTGGGGGGCTTTCTCAGGAAAAAAAAAGCTTTGAGACCCAAACGCTACTAGCAGGTTTTGGAGTAATTTCCATGCAAAAAAATAAATAAAAAATGCATCTGCTAGTCATGGGTGAAATTCCTGCACACTTAATTTTGTTTCAGTTTTGGTGTCAGCAATTCTGTGGCACCAACCTGGGCCACAATGCCACCGGCCCTTTTTCAGGGGAAATATGTGGAACAGGTTCTAGATTATGGACTGGTCCTGCATCAGTGGAAAAGGGGGCTTTGCGGTTCTTGAAGTCAGGCAGATAGACTACAGTTTAAACCTGGATTTTGAGAAGACTGGCTATCATTTAACAAGCAGTTTGAACATGATTGTGAATAGCTTTAATCTGGACTGAGTGTCAAGTTAAAATAAAAATAATTGTATTCACTTAAAGGTACTTTATGCTTTTTGCATGATGAAATCCAAAAAGTTTAGATTTAAAATGTTGGTTTGCTGTGCTTTTCCTGTTGTATTAAGTCACAATATTTTGAGTGAGAATATGTAAACACGGAGCCAGAGAGATGGCACACCCCAGTCAAACCGTTCACATGCTGAATTGTAAAAACACAAAGATCAAACTGACAGTCTGAACCTCACCTGTCACACAGGGCTTCTCCTTGAGGTTCACCTCTGACTTTAGCCTTGTCTTCCGCTTCACCTCGTACGGGTCTGAAATGAGAAATGAAACGCTGTCAGTGTTTAGCAATAATCTGCTGCATCTGTTTTTTTAATTTGTGAGCACTATGACTGGTAAAGAGTCGAGAGAACTGGCTGACACGATGGAGAGAAAGAAGGTGGCTGTATTGCGTGTGCAGGAGACCACGTGGAAAGGCCAGGAGCGCTGGAGGTGGATTCTAAATGTTCTATTGTGGTGTACATAGTGCTGTGGACGCGCAGAGAGTGTCAGACAGGATCATGGGTGTGACGGTGGAAATCAGAGGGGTGGTTTTCATTGTTATCTGTGCGTATGCCCCACAGGTTGGATGTCATTTAGAAAAGAGAGGGGAGTTCTGGAGCAAGTTGGATCAAGTGGCAGAGAGTGTCCCCAAGGGGGGAAAGAGTAGGACAGACTTCAATGGACGTGTAGATGAAGGGAAGAGAGGTGATGAGGAAGTGTTGAGTAGGAATGGTATCAAGGAATGCCGAAGGAAAGATGGTGGTGGCCGGTGACGTAATGGTGGAATGAGGACGTACAGGAAAGTATTCAAAGAGGCTTACAGTAAGTTGTATGTGAGGCTGGACACCAAGAAAGGAGATAAAGGTTTGTTTTGATTGGTTAAACAGAGTGATCGAGCTGGAAAGGATGTGCAGCAGGATGGAAATGTACTAATGAGTAAGGAGAGTGTGCAGAGAAGGTGGAAGGAGTACTTTGAGAGAGAAAAAAGACAGAGGACAGTTAATGAATGAGAAAGTGCAGTGAGGAGGAAGTGAGGACAGCTATGAAGAGGAGGAAGAACAGAAAGGTGGCTGGTCCTGATGACATAAGTGTGGAAGTGTAGAGATGTATAGGAGAGAGGACAGTGGACTTTATGACCAGAAGAAGGAGGGAGACCGGCGGAAAAGTGAATCTACAGGGAGTAGAGACAGTGGAGGCTCATGGATGTAGTGAAGGAGGACGTGCAGAGGGTTGGTGTGGCAGAAGAGGATGTTAGGGAAGTCCAGTGCTGACTGACCTGGATTGCGAGGCAGGTACTTGAATGTAACGGGCTCGCTCTCCATCTGGTCTGAGATGCGACGCAGGGCCAGGTTGACTTCCACTTCCTCTGTGATGTCTTGGTCCTCGTAGGGCGGAGTCTTAAACACGATGGCGATCTGTCGGTGCACGTCTGTCTGGGCAAACTCCCCGTTCGCCTTCCACGACTCTCGCCTGAAGATGATCTCGATGTCGTCTGAGGACCAAACACGCAAAGCTCTTTATTATTCAAGAAACATTAGAACATGTTTGTGTTCTCATTCATCCAGGTCATGGGAGTCTTTAACAAGAAGCTTCTTCACTTCTGGGAGTCCCAGGTTTTATTACATTAGGGACCCCGTAATGGTCAGCACCTAGGCTCATGGGACATTTGACTCCAAGGCCACCTTCCTGTTCGCCTTAAGAAGCGAAGAAGCCTCTTAATTAAGAATCGATGAGAAAATGTTTCAAAATGATCCAAAATTCAAAGATTAAAAATATAACCTTTTTTAGAGGAATCAAAACTTTTAATACTTTTATTCAAAATAATTAGGTCACAACGGTTTTCTTCTTTAGGGCGCGTTACCACCTGGAAACCACCTACAAGTCCTCTTTCATCACATCCACACACCTCCTCTTTGTGCTTTCTTCTTCTCTGACAGCATCTTTCTACCTGCAAGTCTTCACTGCACATGTCCAAACAAACTCAGGCTCATCTTTCTTACTTTGTCCCAGAACCGTCCAACCTGAGCGGTCGCTGTGATGAGCTCCAAACATCTCAGCATGTCAAACTCAGCTTCTTCCAGGTCTTTTCATACGTTTCATGCAATGTAACTGATCTCTCAGCTGCCTTCTTAACTTTTACTTTCATGTTGGTATCCTTCTGTCACAACCCAGTACCCTTTTCTTCACCTCTTTTTCACACCCCAGTTGTTCTGGATGGTTGACCCCAAGTATTTAAACTCAACCACCTTCACCTCCTCCATCATCCTCACCTCACCAAAACACATTTTCTACCTTGCTCCTTCTCACCTTCACTCCTTTTCTCTACACAGGAAACCCCCACAGCTCCCCGTGTAGACCGACACATCATACGCAAACATAATATTCCACAGAGTCAGACCTCATCTGCCAGCTTGAGAAGCTCTCAAAAGCAGCTTCTCAAATTCACTTTTAACCAGTCTGTCGCTCCTACCACACACTATTGTCTCAGTGCACCCATGCATATCCTGCATCGCTCTCACACTTCTCTCTAACACTCCTGACTTCCTCATGCAGCACCGCACCACCTTCCTGGGCACCCTGTCACATGCTTTCTCTTAGTCAAGAAAAACACAATGTGACTCTACTTTAAGTTACAAAAATGTGGGTGTGTGTGGGTTGTTTTTTTTAATAACACAAACACAAAAACCTCATTTAAAAGTTAACTAAAGCTCCAAAGCTCTACAAATAAACTTAGATTGTAATCAGGCTCTTTGTCGCGTTTCTGAATAGTGGAAACTGGACTTGTTTTATGTAATCTACTCCTGGAACCTAACTTCAAAAAACTTTCCTGTTACCTTTCTGCACTTTGTCACACAACATGTAGACCTCTGTCTTGCCAGTGCAGGGACCTTCATACAGGTTCAAATGGGTGATCTTCAGCTGTGATGTAGTTGTTGCCTCTGGAATTAAAAAAAAACATGCACGACAAAGCGTGAGAATAGGGAAGTACGCTGCCTTATTTTTGGCGCGCTTGGTTGACTGCGGTCAAGGCTTTTCGGTGTGTTTGTCCGGTTATGTCTTACTCTTGTCATAAATGGGCTTCGACACCACCGGGCTGAGATGGTCTTTCCTGCCGTCCTGCCACTCGAGCTCGCACTGAAAGCACAGACGCACTGAATTCATGTCCATGTCTTCAATGCCCTTCGAATGCCCGGCTGAGGGGAGAACAGAGACAAAATGAGTCAGTGAGGACAGAAAAAACTGCCTTTATATATGTGAATGAAGAATAACGTGGAGATTAAGGTGCGGTGTATTGGCATACGTCTCCCACTCACTCTGAAATGGGTCGATATTTAGACTTCTTCGCTTCTGAAGTGAAATGTCCAGCTCTTTCCGCCTCACACACTGAATACCAAGGTTAGCGAAGCTGGGTGTAAAAACAAGGGGAACTGTTCAAATAAAATGTAAAGACACACCACGAAATTTAAGGTATCAAAATGGCAGGGATCGAAGGCGAATGCTCACCTGTGACGTCGGTTGTTGCGAGGGTTGAATGTGACAAAACAGATCCCTGTACCATTTGGACAGTCTTTACCCACGAGGCAGTGGGGGTGAGGCCGGTGTGGGAGGTCTTTGGTCACCAAAGAAACTGTGACGTTGACTTTCTTTAAGCTGTCGATGGAACCCTGAATCTGAAAGAAAGAAAAGAACAAGATTTATAGCAAAAATCTAGAATAAGTTCAGAGCTGTGATGCCTATTAATGTGATTTTCTTGATAGAAAACAGAAAAAGTTGTCTAAAGTTCTTAATTTTTTCCCTGACCAACAGACCAAAGCTGTTGTAATATGCCAAACTAAAGCAGATAACCCTGACATCTGAGAAACTTGGCTTGAAAAGAGTTGAAATAAAAGCCGATTAACCTTCTCTATCTGTTGCTCCAGGATTTTTTGTCTCTTTCCCCCTCAGACATTTTTCAGGGGCAGACTTTAGACAATAGGTTTCTAGAAG